GTATCCGTGCTTGAGAGTGAAAAAGTTTTTTCTTCGAATCAAGAAAAGAAGTTCTAAGAGATTATCCATTTTCGATCGATTTCTGCTTTTGCCAATCTAAAATCAATGATTACAGGAGAATCAGTTCTATCTCGTCAAAATAGCTGTATAAAGTGGGGATAGTTTTGCGTATCGGCTAGACATGTGCACGGGACCAAAACAAAATTTCCGATTCCGGTAAAAGATTTGCGCGCTGCTTTATTAACTCGATTATTAATGCATTATTTGAACGCGTATTTTGCACAGACAGGTTTGTTATCTGAGTCTATATATTTCAAAACAGAGACCGAAAACATACAGAACCGAACTAGTTTTAAGAAAACAAGTACGAACCGAACCGAACTCGAGAGAGAAAAGTTCGGTTCGTTTCGGTCTCTGTTTCAAAATATATGGCACGTCTTCGTTGTCAATTAATTTAACAAAACAATGACCAGGACCGACCGAGACCAACCTGGTTTCGGTCATTCTGTTTGCCAAATTGATTTATCAAGATGATGTTTGATATATTTTGAAATGCATACACTGAACGAGCAAACATTTCTGTAGAAAGTCCGTAGTCAAACAACACCTTAACAATGAAGTTAATAGAGCAACAAGTAAATCTTTTACTGAGATCAGAAATTTTTTTGGTTCCGTTCACATCTCTAGTGTGACCATTTACATAACGCAGTATAGATAGAATGGACAAAAGTATATTTTATGTCTTGTAAGGGTGAATAAAAAATAATTTAATCGAATGTTTCCAAGAATGAATGAGCTTGATTAAGCATCTGATACTTTTTTTCTGTTCCAAGAATGTGGGTATGCAATGTTGGATGTTTATTTTGGGAGAAGAAATAGCAATACCATCGTCTACACTCTCATCCTCACCACCACACATGCACACTCATATCGACACCTTCCGAAGCTTTTTAGTGCTATATAATTTTGAAGTATTTTTGGATTGATTATCAATAATCGGCAGTAGTGATCAATATCCCTTATCAGAGAGCTTTGCAAACCAGTGAAATCGTTCTTGAACAATCCAAAACGACATTGTTTGATGACTCTCTTGATTTTAATAGTTTCGTTGTTTGGTTCAGACATCTTTTAGTGAGACGATATGAAATTTGTGCTTGTTAATTTTATTTGTAAAAGCATGGTGATCCTCCCACTTCCATCGTTTCCAGTATTTCGATCACTTTTTTTTTAATCACTGATTTTCAAAAGTAGATGGGCGCCTCTAAAAGTCTGGCAAATTTTTGAAAAAATTTTTCAGTCGAATTTTTGTCATTAAGCCTCATCCCCCCCCAATCTTCGCAACAATAGGATACCCATGGACGTTCTTTAGTGTTTCTTTCAAACAGTGATACCTTGACTGTTGTTGTATGAATCATCGCTGAGTAAAACAATATCTATTTGCAAGATTGGTCACCAATTCGATTTCTCCATTGTTGAATTTTTTTTGCCTCTCTAATAGTGTCTATAGTCTTCCTTAATTCGTCGGACTGCTTTAAACGGTGCCCACAGTGCACGTCGAAGTGTATGTAGCTTCTTTGAATCACTTATATCTTGAACACCAAAGTAAAATAGACAGAAAGAAAACTTGAAGGAAATCTCGATTATATTCTAGAAGAATGAAAACTCCTGAGAATCGTCAGCTATACATATTTGAAAGTCTCGTATAAAATTCGAGTGAAAGTATATAATATACTGCCATCTACCTTTAGAAACTTGCTTTTTCATTGGATTCTTCGTATTACAGTCGTTTCTTTTCTCTTAGGAAAAAACTTACTCAAGCATGATGACGTCTTATGACACGTAGTCAATAAATATATCAAAATAAAGCAAAAGCAGTTTCAACATACATTTATTTAAGCTAAATATTATTTTCAAAATTAAACAACATTTTATGGCTAATCAAGTTCCTTCGCCCCTATTGTTATTACCCGTTGAACTGGTCTATCGCATTCTCGACAATCTTGATGACTTCACAATTTTATGTTCAGTTCGTAACGTATGTGTACAACTGAATATGATCACCGATACATATCATCGCTACCAGGTAAATTGCAACGCTATCATAAAGTGAGATTTCATTCATCTTTCAGGCATCATTCAATTCAACAAATGATTATTTTGAATTAATTTACTTATTGATTTTAGCATGGTAAAAAATCGAAGACACTATTTTGACTTGAATGAATATTGCCCCCTCCCCCTCCCGTTCCGGAAAAATAATCATTACTCTATGCGAGCTGTCGTTTGGTAAAAGACTCAGAGATAAGAATCCGACATTTTATTTTATATTTTGTTGTCTCTGTACAACAGTCAGATTCTTTATATGATATGCACTAGTAAAAATAAGATTGAATATATTTCTACGTCTTTCATTTCTTCTTCTGAGTTTCGGATTCATCAGAGCAATCGAATGAATCACATAAGATTCGATTCCGCTTCAGTTTGTGATCGGTATAATAGAGATATTTTAAAAAGTTCATTAAGTATATGTAGAGTTGAGCATTCTTTTTCTCGATCATTATCAGAACAAAAAAAAACCTGGTTCCAGTCAACCACCATCACTCGTTACTACTTTTATATATAGTAAATATCATTTTTTTTTCATAGAGTCGTATTATGTCTCAATATGCTACTTATTTTTCTTGGTTACCTTTCTAGTCACTTTTTCTATATTCGATCTATTTCTGTATATTCAAACATCATTTTATTTTGCAAAACAAAAACTAAAACAGAAACTAGACTTTATAGAATAATAATGATTCATAAGCATTCGATAATCATCAACTCAATAGGCAACGGTTTCATCGATATTTAAAATATCACAGTTTCATCAATGGAGTGTATCCATCTAAATGGGATAAGCAAAAAACGAATCACTACGGAAATCACCAGAAAAACTTTATCATAAAACTATAACAATTTATTTGCGTCATAAAAAATATGTTATTATTGAAAAGGAATAAATGAAACAAGTGTATCAGAAATGAATTAGTGTCAATCGATCGAAATGAAAACTGATCGAAAGGTTTAAATTCGAAGTTCATAAAGCTGGAACGATCAAAACCTAACAAAAAAAAACGAATCTCGAATGAGTAAAATCACCAGAAGTAAAATTCAAAAACAAAATCAGGAAAATGTATAGCATAAAAGCAATTTGAATACTTTCCTCTGAATATATGATTTATTAATTATAAAGTTTTTGAAGACTCATTTGAGAAAAACTTGCTAATTAAGAGTATAAATAAGCACAGTTAACTCTGATCGGGTGTTTTACCGTTTCAACTGGAGAGAACAATTCAAATAAATGAAAAATGAACAGAAATAGGATCATGCGAAAAAACAACAGTATAAATTTAAGCATCACTATTGCTTTTATATTCTTTATAACAAGCAGAGATAAACTTTGAAAATGTCTTTTCAAGTCAGTTTTCACATTTCGAAATCTTAGCGATCAATGTGTGTTGGTTGTTGTGGATTGTGGTTTTCGGATGTGAGTGAAGTAACAGTATACACTTACATCCACGCACATCCATATAGACAGAGGACTGATTTGATCAACCGAGAAAATAAAACAGATATAGATGCAAAACTATGATGAATCAGTTAGAAATGCTATTTTGAATCGTTTCAATGAAAGACAACATTTCAGAAATAAGTTAATGCTATTGGTTTTTTTGCGAACTTTTGAGAATTTCGATATTCGATATTGTGCTTTTGATAAATTTTTATTTTTCGATATTTTTCTCTTTGATCTTATTTCTTTTTTCGAAGAATTAATTGCCTCTCCGAAGAAATAATAGGTACAAATGTGTAAGAAGTCTCAGAGTTATTACAAATATTCTTTGTTTCCCTGATAGAATTACGTAGAGCTTTAAAATTATAATATCTTTTTTATTCTTAAATCTATCTTACCAAACAAAGCATTCTTATATGATTTTCAATAACAGCTATCTAAAAAAGCACATCTGTTGAACATATTAAAACGAAAAGAAAAAACCTCTTTTTTATCATGATAATCACAAGTTGAATAAGTTCGAGCAGTTTCAATGCTTGAACAGATAACTTGAGAAAACAGTCGAATTACTTATTGAACGAAAAGAGCAAGATGAATTTCTCGATACTCTCACTTCTCGAAGACTTTAATTTATTCGTATAGTTTTTATGAATAAAATGGCTGCTGAAAAATTTCAAAGACTCACATCGGTTACTAACTAGTTTTATTTACATTGAGAATTTTATTACACAGGTCACACTTGATTCAATTCAGAATGCTATTAAGGATGTGGGTGTGATGTGGTTCTTCTCCGACATGAACATACCCACACCCTTCTCTCATAAGACAACTTTTACTCTACACATCAAGATCTATCTATCCTGAAAGGGAAAGAGCTCCCTTTAGTGCGCCAGATTTATCATTCGAATATTCACATGATAAAGCATTTTCATCATTATTACCTGGTTGATGAGAAAAAAGTTTTAGCAAAATTCAAATCAATCCAATTACATGAATTATTATATAAAATCGATAAATCACCAAATATTCGAAGACATCTAAAGAAACGACGTAAAACATGTACACAAAAAATTAGGCAATCATAACGAAAGCATTTTAATTATAGTGACGTCAGTACTACCTGTAAAATGTCTCAGACGTAATAAACAGTCTACCTGGAAAAATCCATACAGACAAAATAAACAGTGCATAAGCTAGTCGTAATGACGCACCTGAATAAATTACGAAGGTATAAATGAAAGAAAAGAAGAAAATGTGACAGTAAGTAATGATGTATAAATAATCATAGTGACAGCAACGAAAAATATAACACGCTTTATATAAATTAACAGTTGATGATAAAATTTTTCGTTTTTTTAAGTGAAACATTACAATAACAACATACTGGAAGTGGATTTATTTGTCGAGAATAATTTCTTTTTCGTCGTTGTTGTCTTTTGTGGTTAACATGTCGAAAAGAAGATTTATATACAGGTAAAACAAAAACTGATTTTCTCATTATCTTGATAATAAAATTAGAAAGAATTATGAATGATCAAATAAAATCTATGTTTGATTATAGTCTTACAGATGACTTAGGAAAATTGTATGATGATTATAATTTAGCATATACAAAATCAGAACAATCATATAGTTATGCTCATGAAATATTTCAAGGAATTGATGTTAATGGTATACGACTAATTTACCATGTATGGTATGAAAATGTTCAACAACAAGCCGAAGCTATTATTGATAAGTTTCTAAAAGTTAACTTTTTTTTTCTTAAACACCAATCGATGAGTCAACATGACAACGAGTATTTCATTTGAAATCACGATGGGTTGATATATAGATGATTTAAAAAGTAAATAATATCAACGCATTATTCGGGAAATAGATCGAGCAATATTTCATTAAACAAAATTGAATAATGTTATACCATCATTATTTATTATGACAATAAAATATCATCTCCGAAATAGAGAAAAAGACTGATGAATTTAAAATAAACGAAATGATAGAAAATTTTTAAAAAAAATTAATTGATATTTTGTTATTGTTTATCATTTGTTTTGTTTCTAGAAAGAATATACGCATATATTTTATTTATTTTTTTTTTATAAAAAGCAAAGATTATTTCTTATGATGAGCAAGAAAACCAATCTTATTGAAGTAAGAGAAAGAAACATAACTCAAACTATGCATATTACCGCAACTAATATTTTGCTTTCTTCGATTATTTCGATTATTTTGATTCTAGCTTATTGATGTTCATTTCAGAGATGTCTCTATGAATATGCATTGCATGCAGTTTGTTCTCCGTTCTGTGCGGTTGAATCGGAAATAACCAGTGAAGAACTTGCAGTACATGTTGCTAAAGTATATCGAAATAAAGACGAAATAAAATAAAGATTTTTTGTTTTTTTTTCTAAATTTATTAATAGCTTTTTAATGTTGATCGTGAAGAACATAAAAAATATATGCGAGCTCTTAAGGTAAAAGTAAGATTTTTCTGAAAACAAAACCTTTTTTCTTAATATAAATATCATATTTAGCCATGTTCCATTGTACTATCTGTTGATCTTAAAAAAGCACGTAATTTACTTGGTAACGATGAAAATGGTTTGTTCTATAGAATATTTTACATTTTTATATTAAATATTCTTGTTTGAAAAGGTCCTTGTCATGCTTATTGTCAAGTGGATGTTGTCCATATTTCAACATCACATATTAGTCAAAAACAAAATTCATTATTATTTTCTTGTATTAATCCATCATGTATATTGAGTCGAAAACTTTTCATTAAAAAAAAAACATAATAATAATCATGTTTTATTTTGTTTCAGGTTTGAAAATCAAATCGCAATCACTAATGACGATGCATAGCCGACAACATAGTAGAAGTAGTAATTCAATAGATCGTTTATCAACAACATCATCCAATAATAGTGAAACATTACAAAACATGAGTTATCTTACTGCAATTCAACCAAAAACTATTAATCCAGAATGGAATGAACATTTTGAATTGTAAGTTGTTAATAAGAGATGTAGAATTTCGTTTAATTTGAATTAATCCTATTGATTATTCATTTGTTGATCATGTTTAAATTATAATATCTATTGTTTTAATCTATTTAGTCATATTGACAATCTACATGAACAATATTTACTCATAACTGTATTCGATTCAAAGCATAATCGAACACCAAAATTGAAAACAACTCTTCAAGAAAAATGTCGTGTTTCACGGTAAATCTATTTTTGTCACGTATATGACTTTTTTTACTTAAGATAAAATTTTTGTTTTCTTTATTTTAGGAAATTTCATCGAATTCGAAGTTTTTTCACAACGAATCAAATTGATGATGCTTTTCTTGGTCAAGTCAAACTTGATATTAAAGTAATTAAAATTTTGTTTTATTTATTTTTCTATATTTTAATTTTACATACAAAAATATTCTTTTTATATCTATAGTCATTAACTTCGTTTGATAGTGAAAAATGGTTTAATTTAACAGACTTAAGTCAAAATAGTTTATATAATAGTAAATCACGAGGTGAAGTTCTAGTTGGATTAAAAATTCATTTTAAATTGGTCAGTAGAAAAAACTAGATTTAAAACTCTTTTTTTTTGTTATAAAGATGTTGTTTAGTGTGATCAAATCAATTGGATTACTTCATCTTTATATCCTCGTTCTTTTACTATGTCGAAGGTAATCATCTTTTGCATGATGCTTAAATGATGAAACGATAATTTGAATGTTCTTTTTTTGTTTTAATTTTTTGAAGAACTTGTTTTTTAATTGTTTTTTTTTTAAGGATAATAAAAATACAAAAGTTCATCAACGTACTCTAAATAATACTGTATTACAATTTCGTCGTCATCATCATCATTCATCATTATCATCTGCTAATCAAATAGATTCATTGATTATATTACATTCAAATATTTTTCGAAAAAATTTTCGTTCATCATCCATACAATTGTATGATTATACAAAATCGGATGGTAAATTTATATTCTTATAGATAATTGTAAATATGAAATATTTTATTTAAAAAAGTTTTTGAAAATGATCTTGAAACAGAATTAAGTCAAAATGATTCATGTTTAACGCCAACTATTGATTCAGAATTAACAGTATCCATTGAAGAATATCATCAATTAACTCGAATTATTATGTTACATGAATTAGAAGATGCAAGAGAAATAGTAAAAGAATTTATTATAAAATTTTAAGAATTAAAAAAAAAAATTTCTTGTTGTTTTTCCCCTAGAATGGAAATCAGTCAAATGATCTAGTTATTGATTGGAATGGAACATTGAATAAATTATCTAATCATGTTCTTGCACAATTTTGTGTTTTATACAATGTTTCAACTGTAACAGAAGCATTTATGTAAGTATAAAATAATAATCATATTGAACTATTAGATTTTATATCTGTAAATCAATAGAAAATTACTTGTTATTATGGAACTTCGATGTTCAAAAGATTACACAATATTTATAAGTCAAGATGTTATTAAAAATTATTTAAAATTATTTATGAATAAAGTACAAGAAAGAACCAATGTTAAAGATGTAGATTTTACTGAATATGAGGTAGAGTTGATATGATGGATTTGTTTATTTTTATTGTTGCAAAAAAAATCTTATATTTGATTTTAGAAAATAGTATTTAAAGAAGTTTTTTATTTATTTATTGTTCATTATAAACAACGTACACATCATGATGCATCATGGTTTTTACCATCGAAAGATAATTTACCAAATATTCAAAGTATATTCGAGTATGTTTAGATTTAATTTAAATAAAATAATAAGATCAAATCGATTGTTTTATGAAAAATAAACGAAAAAACTCGACATGTAGAAGTTTTTCAATAAGAAATAAAAGCCTATTCAAAATTATATGTCTAGTAGATAAATAGAAAACAAAGCAAAGTGAAATTGACAAATATTTTTCTGACACTTCGAAGTTTCTCTTTTTTTTCTGTATTGTTGATCTTTGTATCTAGGCAGTATTTGGCTCGATTCATCAACAGAAATATCAGAATAATATTCAAAAAGCCACAAAAGTAGCTCCTTCCTCATATTTTCAGGCCATACGATTAGCGGGAGAAGCTGGAGAATTTCTCTCCTCTAAATTTTTTCTTGTGAAATAGCTTTCTCCCTGGAAATTTTCTTTGCAAGCATTTAGAGGATTTTATTTTTTTTGATGGATCAAATGAGCTATGCAAAAGGGAACCAGTTATTTTCTCTCAATATTGGAAATAAAAGCAATTGTTGTCTCATCACGAGACTTAATGCACTGAATAGTTGAGCGAAAATGAATCACTTTCATAGAGAAAATAGTCCGAATACAATTTGGATTCGAAATATTTTTTGTTTAAAACTGATTCATTTGCTCTTTGGATTGTCTTTTATACTGAGGATGATTTAGATGATGTTGTACAACATTTTTGCACGTATCCAGGACGAGCAAAAGCTCGTAATATCAATGTATATATATATATATATGCACAAAAATGATGATGATAGCGAGGATGAAAAATAGGCAAAGCATAAGACGATCTTTTCAAACAACATAATCTTTGTGTAGAAAAAAAAATTGATTTCACAGATCTGATATTTCTGCAGAAATTTATCAGCATGAAAAGCAGCAAAAAAAAATTGCACTGATTAAAAGCGACACCCTTAAGAGTTGCAGCTGAAAATATGTTTTACTGTAGAAAATCAAATACAAAGAATCGTTTCTTCCTAGCTTTGGAAGACTTTCTTCTTCAATTCTTCTCCCCGTCTAAGCAGAAACAAACGAAAACTATGCATATTTTACTTTACTTTCATTGGCGTTACCAGCATGTCTTTTTCTTAAAAAGATGTATTGCACAAAGTCACTAAAGATAAAATTCACAGGCATTTAAAAATTATGAAAAACTCATTAGAACATTAAGTTTCGAGGCTCTACACTTAATCGTTGTAAAAGAATTTCAAATTAAAATTTGTCAAAACGGTTTGATTTGAGAAACTCAAAAATAAAAATCTCGAACAGTTTACAACGTATGATATCAATATAATAGTTAAATATGTAGTCTAGTAGGACAATTCTAAACATTTTAGGACAGGACGGCAAACGGATTCGAGGCAAATCTAGAAAAAAAAATCAAGATTTCAATTTCATTTTATCCTTATATAAAAAAATGTCGTATATTTCAATTTTTTTAATAGCAAATAAATATCTTAGTATTTCAATAAATAACAGACAAAGAAGTGTAGACTGCCACTCAAGCTAAGCTCGAGTAGAAAAGATAGTGGACTGCACGAGCCTGAAATATGTCCGAGCGCGATCCTTTAAGGCATTTAGTAGTCTTTCAGTCAACGGGATTATTCGAAAAAAATCGGAACGAGATTCGGGTCATGAAAAAAGTTTGTCTCGTATAGAAAAAACGTAAAAAGGTCAATTAAGAAAGATCATTTGTTTATCCAAACTAACTCAAATAGTTACCTTGAGAAGATCATCAAAACTTATTTCATTTTGATCATAATAACAATCGAAGTGAACAAATTCGTTATTAGAGCGCAATCGGGGTTTTTTGTTTTTGTTTTTGTGGGCGTAGACATAAGATGACGATAAACAGAAGACTCACATCCTCTTTTAATTATTTGAAATCCTATTTTATTCGACATTTTAAGACAATAGAATATCGAATATTTGAATGCACCATTGATAATAATTTTTGTTTTAATCTTCCAAATCGTTTTTGCTTATCAAACTGAATTTCAAAAAACATCAAATTGATTATTACAGAAATCTATACAAAAATATTTTCCAGACAAACAAATAATTATATTTGAATCCTATAGATTTGAATAGAAATATTTTGTTTTTCTTCTGCAATATGAATCTTCTTCTAATAATTAATAAAATAGATGATTGATCAATATATTCAACATACGAATTATATAAATAATATTATTATTCTAGAACAATGTATACTTTATTTCAATTAACAAACTGTTCAAATGAAATAACGATAAAATATCATCTCGAACAAACAATAAAAACTCGTTTACAAACAGATATTAATGATTCATTCAGTTTTTATTCTTCTCTATTTAATAATGAAAATAATACACAATTTAATAATATTCGAGATTTACTTGAGTATATTAAAAAAATAGATGTATCAATGTCAATTATACATGAATATGAAAAGCTCTTTTCATTATTTAATATAAGCTATATTAAAATATGTTTTTTTCAAGCAAATAGTGCAGGTGATCGTGTAAGTTATTCTCTAATATTGTCTATCCAATGAATTTATTTTATGTTTATTAGTTAGCTGAATTAACAAAATGTTTATTAACAAATATGACAGATTATTTTCAAACATGTTCCAAACCAATGGTTACAGCAACATCATCTATATATGGTCCAAATTTAATTCAAAGTTCAAGTTTACTTTTAAACTTATATTTATATTTACAAAAAATTATTAGATTGCTTCAAGATTATTTTGCAACACGGTAGACATTTAGTTAATTATTTATTAATCTCATTGTTTTTATCGAAACATGATCTGATTCAGAGTTCTTGCATGCCGAGATTCAAACAACGTAGTCACTTAATCATTGGGGTAGCCTATTATTGACCGCATAGCGATAAAGTCTCGTCACAATACATTAACTAATTCATTATTGCATTTCTGAAGAATTAAGTAAAAGAAGGGTAAATAATAGAGTCCATCGGGTCCAAAATTTTCGGATCCGGTCCAACCAGACTTTGATATTATCAATGAAAATTTCTAAATCCCTCTCTGCAATAGAATACCACCGGATCTTCTATTATGTCTCATTTATTTTCATAATTCAGAAAACCATCAAAGCGATTTTAAGCATAAAATCCTAAAAACTAGGCATATTTTGACATAAGTACACTAATTAAACTTCCAATTTTTCTGGATTGTCGTACCAAATATATGAGATGGTTTTTTGTATTCGGTGACTAGTTGCGACTATACATTTCTCAGACAACAAGGAGCTATCGGGACTAACCAGACGAGCTCTAATAAAGAAATGTATCCTAAGGTATATGGAATAAAATACGGATGTCAGCATTCTCGTTCTTGATTATACCGTTCATAGGAACGGAACGCGGAGATGACGCACCTAGAATAAAATAATCTCGCTATGATTAGCAGCATCAGCTATATCGCATTTCATATTTTAATCCCACAGAAATGCACTTATAGTTTTTATATGTCTTTTATGTTTTTTTTTTAAATAGAGATTTGGAAATAAATCCATTTACATTAAGATTAATTGATTATTGTCACTGGTTTTCACCCATAATGGAATTTTTATTGGAAGGTGTTATTGCATGTATTAGACAGATAATAGAACGAGCGGCAGAATATGATATTGAAGTAGAAAATAGTTACATTTAATTTATATTAAAACCTATACATTTATTTTTTAAGCTTGTTCCTTATGTAGATATTTACCATTATTCTGATTCATCAACGATGGCTACTATTTCATGTGAAAGGGTATATTGTTCATTTTTCTTCTCATTAAACTGTATCGATCGAATTTAATTTAGCTTTGTCAAGAATGGGCAACCATTGAACATCCTGATATTACTATACGTTATACAGCACTTTTTAAATTAACAAATACAATATGTGAACAATGTCAATGTTATACAAAACGTATAGCACGTCAATTATCGGAAAATAAATACTTTAGTGATGTATATTCTACAAGATCATTTATTGTTTCAAAAAAAGTTTGTCGAAAAGAATTTCAGTTTATTTTATTGTTCAAAAAAACAAACAAAAAAATTTCTCTTTTCTCATTAATTTTAGTTATGTATATTAATTAATGATATTGAAAATGTTAAAAAAAGAATTCTTTTATCCTTACCAGATTTATTGGATTTTACTGATGTAATAAATAATATGATCAAATATTCTGAATTAACAAGTCTTCAGAAAACAGAATTAACACTTAAACGCTTAATTTCTACAGCTGAAGATGAAATGAATGAAGTTATTAAACTTATATTTGATCGTGTTGCTACATTATTTTATGTATCTTTGAAAAGTAAAATTTTCAATTATTATGAAGAGGAAAAACTTGGAAAAGCGGATGTAAGCAAAAAAAAAAACTAGAAATAAAATGAATTACATTTATTTTTCGAAATATTTATAATATATTTTTAGTGCATGACAGAAATTCTTCAATATATCGATGAGGAAATTCTACATAAATTATATCAAGGTCTTGAATCAATTCAATATCCTCGTATTACTTGCGCTATACATATGAAAACTTTACAATGTTTAAAAGAATTATTACCATTATCAGAGCTGCCAGAGTTTTTTGAGCGTGTTCTACGATCATTTAATCAATTAACTAAATATTTTGATTCTGTATGCTTAAAAGAATCATATTTATCTAGTTCATCGTGTGATGAAGTAACAACATTTCGACAAACACTTGAGACATATGCATTATCCACTGATAAATTACAATTACGTTATTTTCTAGAAATAATAAGTCAAGACCATTCTCCTGTAAGCATTCTTTTAAATTTTATTTTTTTCTATTTAGTGAAACACGATTCAAAAGGAATATTGAACAAGGATAGAGCCTGTCGGGTTAGTCTCGGCGGACCCTTGTCGTCTGAGATATGTATTGATTGCAGTCGTCACTAAAACCGAAAAACAAAACTATATCATATGTTTGGAATGATTATCCAGTTTGGATTAGATCTCTCTCCACAATAGAAGATCTATGTCAAATTATGGCTAGTTTTCAGTATTTTGAGATAAAAATCTCTTCTCAAGTGCTTAAAATCACTTTAGTTTTCTGAATCATGAAAATAAATGCGACATAATAGAAGATTTGGCGGTGTTCTATTGCAAGAAGGGATATAGAAATTGTTCATTGAGAATATCAAAATTCTGGTCTGAAAATATTGGACCTGACGAGCTCTAATCATAGAAAGTAACATACGTTGTTGATACAGAATCCCAGACCGTATGTTGATAAAGTCTCTTTACAAAATTTGCAGTTTAATCCCACAAGGATTGTGTTAACAGCTTTTTCTTTTTGTAGCATGAATATTCAAATCAAATTAGTACAATTTTTTTTCGTTCGGCGTACGATGCAGTTAATGGTCTAGCTGTTATTTCTGTTTCAAGTGTGTTGATTTGTTAACCTTGTTTTTTTAAATGAATGAGTGTTTCTTTCTACATAGGTCTTCGTTGTCAAGATTTACCGAAGATAAATCAAATTGATGCACCAGATTCATATGTTCTTCTTGAATTATTACCGTCAACACTTTATCCAGAACCTCCAAAAGAATATAGAACACATATACAAAAACGAACATTTAATCCTGCATTTAATGAATTATTTGAATGGTAATTTTTTTTTTGTTTTTATTGAATCGTTTTTTATTTCAAATGAAAGATGTTTTTTAAAGGAATTCTCTTCCGTTAAATGTTATACGTAAAGATGGTGCTGTTTTACGTTTGAGCGTTTGGAATAAACATAAGAAAACGGATGATTTTATTGGTGAATGTTTTGTACGATTAATAACTATTGAATCATTAAAAACCCATGCATCATTACGTGATATTCCTGTATCACAAGTACTTTTGAGAAGACCATATAAAAATACTCCATCAGAAATACTTAAAGTAAAACATTATTGATTTTATTTCTTCATATTTAATTTGCTTATTGTAGGTAATTCGAAATCGTGCAACATGTGATGTTGAAGCAGCTGTTTTCCTTAAACAACGTATTGCTGTTCTAAAATCAGGAAACGAATGTGACAATTAGTCGACGACAAAAGTCTTGCCCGTCTTGAAATGAATTTTTTATATTATTTTTGACGTATGAGAATAGAATGCAGCACATATATATGGGAGTGATCAACTTGACTGATTGTCCAGGATTGATACAGTCCTATTGTACGGATAAAACATACTATTGTTCGGGTCATATAAGAGACGATCCTAGATAACCCTTGATTGGCACGAACAACATCATGTTTTATCCGTACAATAGTTGAGAAAAGCTACGAGCTTAGATCCTCTCTTATATGACCCGAACAATAGGACTGTATCAACCCTGGGCAATCAGTCAAGTTGATCACTCCCATATATAGAGGAGTTCGAGACATTTATGCAGTACATAGTAGTTTTATAAGTGTTTGCTTCTTCTTTGAGCAAAGTAAAAATATGTGAATATATCCATTTTTGGATACCTTGTTCAGAGATGAGATGGGCTGTATGATATAAGACCAAAATTTCGAGCTGACGAATTTCTAGTGAATGAATTACAATACGAAATTTCGTGCTCAGTGTTCTTGGTGTTGCTCGTTGACAGAGCATAGCTAAAGCTCTTCCCTCTGAATGGTCAAAAGTTATAAACTCGAACTCACTTCACACTAGCCATTTCTTCTCTCAACAGGTGATCCAAAAATGGATGTATTCACATATTTTTACTTTGCTCAGAGAAGAAGCAAACACTTATAAAACTACTATGTGCTGCGTAAATGTCTCGAACTCCTCTGTACACATGTGTGTTGTATTCTATTCTCATACGTCAAAAATCATATAAAAAATTCATTTCAAGACGGGCAAGACTTTTGTCGTCGACTAATTGGACATGACGTAAATTTTTGAAACAGATTTCCAAGGTTGTCACTTTTATTTTGAAAACTTGAACGTTGTTTTATTGGGAAAAAGTGATACATTCTTTTCTCTAATGCAGACTTTGTTGTTAATGATAATTAAAAATTCATAATAGAGTGCGGGTGTGGGTGGGTGTGGGCGTGGGTGTGTGGGTGTGGGTGTCGATGTGGGAATGGTGTGGGTGTGGGTGTGATCCTTCACTTCATCGACACCCACACCCACCCACACCCTTATTATCTATTGAAAGTATGGTCATATTTTGATAGTTTTTATTTATTTTGTTAACCCTTTACAGCCGGATGTATCCATTTGGATACATGGAGCCAATGTTTTACGAAGAAGTAACTTGTAGTGATGATATGAAATGTTTTGACGATTTGATAAATAAGTTAACACATTTCAACACACATTCACGTGTTTAGAAGAAGGAAATAACACTCGCTAAGAAAATGGCCGGCTCTATCCAAAATGCTCTAAAATAGCATCCGTATAGAAATAATCCTTTTCTCGCGTCTCTAAATAATCAAACTTCGAAGCAAGCAGTTGTTAATTTTCCTTCATAGACCTACTGTCTATTGGACCACTAAGACGGATTATTTAAAAAATCCGAATAATAAAAAATGGGAATGTATCCGTTTGGATACATGAAGCCATTAGATGCCGAAGCACTTATTGACTCTGAGAAATAAACTTTTCCTATCTCCATGGTCTAGGAGCAACGAAAATCCATAAAAAGACTTTTTTGTTACTTGTCTTCTAGTAGCCGGCTGGAAAGGGTTAAAGAACCATAAGAAGCAACTTACTTGGCATATATTCTTCAGCTTGTTTCGAAGATATTTATCTACATACCAATATAAATTCTCAACTATTACATCGTTCTGACCAGTTGCAACATAGTGATATGCAGAATTTGTTGTTGATGGACATTTGGACAAAGATATGGGCACGATACTGAAGTATATATCGCTATGAAGCATTAAACAAAAAACTCTCTGAATAAAAAGAAGTAAAACAAAGGACATGCCTATATAAATCCATTTGAGCTTGAGGTGAAATCTCATGAGAATTACATATTTTTTCGATAAATTTTTCTATCCTGATGAAAATATCAGGTTCGGAATCTTGTGCCATATTCTAATCTAAAAAATAAAATCAATGTTTATTATATGAATAGCTTTCATGTTTTTTGTTATTAATCTTAACAAAAAAAAATGAAAATCAAATATCAGTTGATAGACAATAGTGTACAAAAAAGTGCCAATTTCCCTTTGGTGATAAATTTTGTAAATACTGTAGCAATTTGCTTTGTTTTTATTCTCAAATAGTTAAACATTTATGATGATTTATAAGAGAAATTAGGAAAATTTTCTTCAAAATGACAAAGAGAATATATTTAAATTGCTGAAAATTAGACTTGTTTTTATTTTATTTCATTGGTATAAATGTAGATTAGTAAAAAATCTCAGGCAAAACATATGATATCAATTAGCTGAGTAAGTATTTTTCGATAGAATAAAACGAAACAAAAAAGTGCGATTAATTTTTGTTCCAGTTAACAGTCAAGATTATAAGATTTTAAGAAAATCAACATCGTTTGATTTTTAATAGATTCTCAAATGGAATTGAGTAAAAATCTATGGAAGTATTTTTCAAAAATTTTAATCAAAAATTAGAGATTTATATCGAAATGATGCAAGACTCTTCTTATAATCATCAACACAATTTATCATAGGTTATTCAAAATATGCTTCTATATCACGAACAATTCTTCTATTATTCCTTTTAATAGAATCATCGAATGAACTATCTGAATATGACATATAATCTCTGCTCAGCATCTTTTAAAGTAAATTCTATTTTAATCGATTTATGAAATTGATTATTTTTTTTACATAAAAAATATCAATATATTTTTGTATTTCATCAAAATTTTGTTTTTTTATGACAAACTCAATTATAAATAATCATTTATGAATGTCTGTTATCTGATGTAGTTTATAAAAAAATTAAAGAATGATATTTAAATATTTGGTGAAATTGCTTCATACAATTTTCTACTCTATTAAATCTCTCAATAAGAAACATTATAGTATTTGAATTTTGTTCACTAGTTGTATTCATATTTACAATATCTGTTTCGTTTCTAGAATATCCTTCAATAATTCCGAACTTTCATTCGAAATTGAGAATTGTATGTTGGATTTTATCTTCGAAAAATTCAAAATTTTCACTTATCCTTTCTTGAAAATCTATCAATTTTAAAGACTTTGTTTAAAAATTTCAAACATAATATCTACTATACAAGGAACTTCTAAATCATCTTGTTATTTGTCATCAAGATTATTTCTTTCATTTTCGATCCAATAAATAGAAAACTAAAACTTTTCATCAATTTTCGACATGATTTTTTATTTCTGTGAATTCTAAAGAATACAGATATTTATCGATGAATTGTGAAAACTACCTTTTAAATTTTTTGATGGTTTTATTTTCTGACAAATATCTATTGTATTATCTGAAACAGACATTCTCTTTACTAAAAAAAATTCTTGTCTATCAAAACTTGTTTTCTTAAAAATTCTTCTGTGATAATTATCAGGAGCTCATTGTCAAGTCCCTGCATTAAAATAGTTTTCTGATAATACTCTTTACTTTGGACATTTTATAAGAAAGAATAATTGTTCAGTTTATTAAAAGAAACTAAATATTTTATTATACTTCTCAAACTGTTTATCGAATCTTAAAAAAGCCTATCTTGTTATTGTTTTAATTTAGTAGTAAAATAAAAGATGTAATAATTAGAATATATTATGAAATTCGACTATTGTAATTACTTTTGGAATATTGTAATAGATGAATATTCAACAGAAAAATATGAAGTATGTAAATCTCAATAGTTTTCTAATTAATGAATATCGAAGAAGGCAATCGCATTTGATAATGAATTTATTTCACAAGAGGTATGATTATTATAAGTGGAAAAAAACCCAACGACACAATATGTTACCGCTTGGTTTTTTCCAACTATTTTGGTGTAGTAATATATATTATTCCTGTATGTTTTTTTTTTCTTCTATTCCTTTTTTTTATTGTACATTCAAATATAACACTCAACAGTGCTTGCATGATAATATAGAGGGAAAAAATAATACTTAAGCGCTTAGGAACAGTGTAAATACAATGATTTTGATTATCAACAACACCATCTTTGTATCGACTCCCTACTTTGCTGGTTGTGGGGTTAGAAACGAAGAAGGAGAAGAATATAACAAAGAAAGAGTATCCAAAAAGAACGCATCAAAAAGGATGTGAAGTGAAATGAAAGTGAGACGAGCAGAAAAAAAGAGATGGCGAAATAGGATAATGTATACTTTCGACGTCAGAAGAAAAGAATGAAAAAAACAAAAAGGACAAGAAAAAGGAGAAAGAGAGCAAAATAGAGATACTACATGTGCTAGTCTTTGCAAACCATTATTTTAATTCAATAAATGGTATTCATTTTAGGAGAAGCGATTCATGCTTAGATATTAATTGTTGTACTCTATTACTATGGAAAAAAATGGTCAAAGTAGTCCGTCTTTCTTTTGTGAGAATCATCCCAAATAAAAATATCATTATAGAAGACTAAACGATCAAGGTTCCTTATGTGCATATTTTATCATTTTCTTTGAATATACCCTAGTCGACTCTCCCTAACGAAATCCTCAGGAGTCCCCTGAAAAACGCAAAATCCCCTGGGAATCCATGTCGGGAATCCCCAGGGAGTTGCATATTTCAGGGGACTACCTCAAACTTCTCGGGGAGTCCCCTATTTTTTAAGAGTCCCTCTAAAATTTTTACAAATTTGATTTTTTAGAGGATTCCGAGGGTCACTTCCTAAGAGTCACTGATAATACTCATCAACTCCCCGGGATTCCCTAGAGAGTCTCTGAAGCCTCCCTAGGGAGTCCCTGAGTCTCCTCTTAACTCCCCAGGGATTCCCGACATGGACTCCCCAGGGAATTTTTCTAGGGAGTCTCGACTAGGGTAGTGTTTAAAGTAAACTTCTGATGAATCTTCTGTAGTCAAACTGTATAGATTATGAGCTAAGGGTGAGGGTGGGTGTGGGTGTAAGTGGATGTAGACGTGAATGGCGATAAACGC